GCGCCAATTGCGTACTAGATAATTTTGCAAGTGCCTGGCGACAGAGCGGCTGCCCCTCGACTGCGCACCCAGTTGCCAATATGACGTAATTTTCTCTGTGTAAATAAAAGTGTGCAGCAGCAGCAGCAACAACAACAACAACAAGAACAACAACAAGGGGGTCAAATAGACGGCGCAACAAGTGCAATGCAATTTTAACTTTGCTGAGAACAAAGCTTTGTCTACCTGCGTCGCCGCGCCTCCACGGCCGCCTTTGCTGCCCACACTTTGAGCGATCATCGTTATGAGCAGCATGTCAGCAGCTGGCGGGGAAAAGCGGCGCAGCAGCACAACGCCGCTGTCAGCGTCGGCAGCGACGCCGCTTGTTCGCCGCAAATCGCAACGTGGAAATTGGTTTACGTAAGTTTTTTTCGCCCCATTTGGCGGCCCACACTCACGTGTGCAGGGCATAAGTGGTTGGGAGGGGGGGAGGGGGTCACGACCACCCAACGAAAAACGGAATCTGCCGATCAACTTTATGACAAAAACAATCAACAACAAGAATGCATAGCAAATGAGCCACAACAACAATTGTAGAACTGAAACGCTGCCAAAAGCATAAGAAATAAATAAACAAAACGGATGTTGACAAAAGAAACCAAGCAAAAAGAAATGTAACAAAGTCGCCGCAGCAATACCCTAACTAAAAGCTGAGCTTATATCAGGCCAAAAGAAAAAGGGTTTTTTCGGCACGCCGCACACTTAATACCCTTTTAGGCAGATGAAGGCATATTGTGAAGCTGGAAGATTTATTGAAAAACGAGAGAGTCGGCTGTTAATGTTGGGGTTGAATAAGTCTTTCTATATGCGTTACATATTTGATGACAAAATTATAATACCCTAGACTATAACTATGTTCAGGGCTCGGTGCGGCGCTCGAACCATGCCGCGTATTTGGGATGAATAATCCGTTGCTTACATATTCATAATTTTCAAAAACGAAACATATAAATATGTATGAAAATATATATATTTAATATATTTAAATATTTATACATATATGAAATTAAACTTGAGGTTCAGCTCCAGGGAAACTGATTCGGTTCAAGGTTCAGTTGATATAGTTAAAAAACAAAAACCGTTAAATCTGGTGCAAACCGGTTTAGTGAAAAACCACTTTACAGCCTTGAAACACTTAACTGTTAACTCATACAAAAAACTCAGCTGAAAAAGCACTTAAATAACAGAAAAAATATATATTTATATAACAACAGGTGTATGCCCTATAATTATTGAACATAAATCAAAGCTTTCAAATGTGTTTTTGATTTGTTTATTAAGTAAGAAATCAACAATAAGTAGGGGGAAAACATAGACTGTAAAAAACATTAAAAATGTAACAGTTTTTCTCTGAAAGTTTACGAGCAATTTAATTGTGTATTATATATACGTATGCGTACTAACTTTAAAGGGTCGTAAATGCTTAGTTTTTATGATTTACGAACATCGTGACTACGCTTATAATATATGTATTTAACTATAATAAATATTTGGTGCGTAATAGCAAACCATAAAAAAACAACAACAACAAGATCAACATACGGCGGCATTGAATAACAAAATTCACAAAATTCACACATATGTACGTATTTACAAATATATGTACACATATACAAGTGTACATATGTATGTGTGTATGTATCTTTAAGTTACGCCTAGAAAAACAAAATGAACCCGAACGTTGTCTGTGTTATTTCGCATCTTAAAATGCGCCTGTTAAATGTTATTGCTGCTATAACTGTACCCTGAACTCATTGTGAATGGGTTTAAAGGGTAGAATGTTGTTTTTCTAATGTTTGAAACACTGAGAAGAAGGCATATTCGATGCCACAAATCATATACATCGGCAGCATCAATAACTGCTTATCCGTCCGTCACAAATATCGCCTTTCTATTACATTCTCACATACAAATAAGACCCATTGAGGGGATTGCCAACGGACTGTTCCCAGGGCCAGTAAACTCTAGCATAATTGCAACGCCAGCTCGATGCTGGGTTCAGGGTAGTTCCTAGTCGGGCACTTTCCACAAGCACAATCTTCTTATTGTTGTTGCTGTGGTTGATAAGCGCTTTAACGACTGATAAAGTTATTGGATACCCAGAGATACTTTGGCGCATTGTTAAGGCCATCAACATTTACGTTACTCGTTCGAGAAAAGCTGCTGAGTTATTCGTTTTATGTTTGGATACAAACCAAATGTTTATGGAAATACTTCAAATCTAAATAAATGCAAGATTTATGCACAATCTGATATATTTTGATATATAGTAAAGTCGGGCGTGGCAAATTCCGTGGGAAACACAATAATGAAAACTTTGTTATAAGTCGGAATAGCTTAACTAAACCAAGAATCCAAAATACCTTTACAATATTAAAAAATTTACATTTTGCATTTTTGAAATAATTCTTTCAGCAATCTTTTCTTACAATCTGTTCTCACTTCACGAGCAATAAAAAATAAACAATAAGAAGATTGCTTAACATGTGCTCTTAAAACATTTAACAGAAATTGAAGTAAGTGAGATTTGAAGATAAACTCATTTTTGTCATAGGGTAATTTAGATACCACTTTAATTTTCAATTTTATGCATTTGACCCGCTGCCCGGGCAATTTTCTCTTGTCTACTGCACAGCTGCAGACGAAAGTACCTTAAAGTACTTAATTTAATGGAATTAGTGACGTCACGATCGTGGGCAATTCTTTATCAGGTGGCAACGCCTTTTATGTTGCCATCAGAATAAATAAGATTGCAAAAAGTAAGCAAAGAGGCGCCTATTCGATTGATAAAATGATCAATAAATATTATTATATATATCTGGATAATAATAGTATTTAGCAACAATATTGCACATAACTGCACAATGCGTTATCAGCTCTCTGAGATAAGACTCAACACAAAGGCAAATCGCACTCTTGAGTAAGCAACAAGGGTTGACAAATTTCTGGCAAGCCTAGCACAGGTATTTTCTAAACTAAAACCAACAAGTTGTAAAAGTTAAACAAACTTGCTTTCTTTATACTATATACTAGATAGGGTTTTCAGTGTAAGTGCAAGTTGGGTTTGGGGCAAAAGTTTTTGCTGCTTGTAATCGCTTTAGCCAATTAGAAAACTTAACCTCAATTTGTAAGCAGCTGCAATTGCCATTCAAATTTCGTTGAATGAACCTGCGTCAGCTGCACTTCACCTGCAGCTGCATCATTGTCACTCAACAAGATTTGCAGCGAGGGTTTCAGTTGCCATTCAAAAAAAAAAAAAAAAAAGCGAAACGAAATAAGTAAATAAAATTCGTTTATGCCTCGCTGCAGCTAAATACCGTTAATGTTGACCAAGCGCCCAACGCACACAGACTTACGCGAGTGTCCTTCAGTGCAGCAGCACACCCTACCTCCCTCCCTCTCACTCTCCCTCTCCCCCTCCCTGCCTCTCTGGCCAGCCATATTATTTATGCATTTTTGATTTTAGTTAAAAGCGCGTTGAGCACATTGAGTGCCACTCCAGCTACTCACTACCCCTGCCCCCATCCCTTACCCCCCCCCTTCTCCATTTTCCACCCACTGAGCTCACCTGACACCTGCTTTTCCATAATTTCCTGCCATTTCCAACAATTTCAACTAATTCCAAATACTCGCTAAGTACGCTTTTGTGCTGCCGCCTTCTGATACTTGAATTCTCTGTTTGCCGAGTTCCTTTCTTGGGGCTTGACCAATAATAAAAACAAAATATAAAATATATATATTTCTTTTTATTCAAGTGGACAGCTTGAAAAACGGGGCTAGTTGCTTGTTTTTTGTAGAATTTTCGTGAGCATTACGAGTGCTTGAATTGTATGAAGAAAAGGAAGCTATTCTTCGGGCTGAATACGACTGAAAGTACATGGTCCTATATAGACTTGTACAGTAAGAAACTTTATTAAGGATTATAAATCAGGCCACAATCATTCCTCCCATATTCAACCCCGCTTAAACTCTCTTAAGGTGTCCGCTTAAGAGAGTTAGTTATGTATGTACTATGTGGAGTTAAAAAATCTATCAAGAAATATGTATAGAAAGGATTTTTCTAATTTTAAACCTAATTTACCAATTAAAACTTTTAAGTTTATGCAACATTTCGAAATATTCACCTCCAACGTGCGGAAAAAGGGCGGAAATTAAATTTTAAAAATTTTAAAAACACATATGTATATGGTGTCTAGGCAAGGAAACACTATGCCATTTTTTTTGTATTCCCATATAATTTGAAGACTTTTCATTTGAGCTTTTCAACTGAAAGCCAAGTCCCGATCTATTATATATATTTCATATATGTTCTATGGGCTCCAAAATGCCTGCTTCAATTATGAACATTCGTTCGATATTAGATTATAAAATAACTTAAACCTAGCCACAACTTCCAGCTCCATATATGTACTACTACTTAATCTAACATTTAATTTTAATCTATTAAAAACAATTAAGAGGTTCTAGCCGGGAGCTCTCGGCTAGGGAATACCCTAAAACCTCTTCTTCCGACAGGCCATAGGTATAAAATGAAAGATACTTGATATATATATACTATTCTAGAAGCTACATGTAAAGTTTGGTGACTCTAGCTCATATTATTTACCGAAATTGGCCTAAAAACAGGATTTCGATATTTCGATTTTTATCGATTACTTGGAAACGGGGCAAGTTATCGAATATCGGCAACAAACTCAATCTGCGCGGGGACTAAAAGGACCTACACCAATAATTTCAAGTCTCTAGCTCTTATAGGTTATGAGATCCTTGCGTTCAGACGGACGGACAGACAGACGGCTAGATCGACTCGGCTGTTGATGCTGATCAAGAATATATATACTTTATGGGGTCCGGGATGCTTCCTTCTGCCTGTCACATACATTTCCATATTATGTATACTCCACATAAAAGGAAATTCAAAGAATTAACATTCGACCTTCTTGTGGTTGCACTTATTTCAGCAGAAAGTGCTTCCATGCGGCGTACTACTATCTGGACGATCCGCCGCATCATCCGAATGCCCCGCAGGTGGACTGGGAGGTGCCCGTGAAGATTGGCGATGAGATCCGTGCCGCGGTGCCGGTAAATGAGTTTGCCAAACACGTGGCCTCGCTGCATGCGGACGGGGATATTGGCTTTAGCCGGGAATACGAAGCCATACAGAACGAATGCATCAGCGACGATCTGGCCTGTGAGCACTCGCAGCATCCCGAGAATAAGCGCAAGAATCGCTATCTGAACATAACAGCCTGTAAGTACGCGCAATTACAGGGTATTCAATACTCTACTAACACCTCTCTTGCTCCTCTAAAACGACAGACGATCACAGTCGCGTGCATTTGCATCCTACGCCGGGTCAGAAAAAGAATCTGGACTATATCAATGCCAATTTCATTGATGGCTATCAGAAGGCGCACGCCTTCATTGGCACCCAGGGCCCCTTGCCGGATACCTTCGATTGCTTCTGGCGGATGATCTGGGAGCAGCGCGTGGCCATTATCGTGATGATCACCAATTTGGTGGAGCGCGGCCGACGCAAGTGTGATATGTATTGGCCCAAGGATGGCGTGGAGACCTACGGCGTCATACAGGTCAAGCTGGTCGAGGAGGAGGTCATGTCCACCTACACGGTGCGCACGCTCCAAATTAAGCATCTGAAGGTTTGTAGCTGCCACAGCTTCGCTTTGATTCCAATTTCAATTCCAATTTCGATTCCGATAGCTAAAGAAGAAGAAGCAGTGCAATCTGGAGAAACTTGTCTATCAATATCACTATACCAACTGGCCGGATCATGGCACACCGGATCATCCGTTGCCCGTGCTGAACTTCATCAAGAAATCCTCGGCTGCCAATCCCGCCGAGGCGGGTCCCATAGTCGTCCACTGCAGGTGAGTCAGCGAGAAGAGAAGAGAAGCTCCTCCTCCTCCTTGACAGCGGCTTATTGTAATCTCTTCTCTTTTTAGCGCTGGCGTCGGTCGCACTGGCACCTACATTGTCCTGGACGCCATGCTGAAGCAGATCCAGCAAAAGTCCATTGTGAATGTGTTTGGCTTTTTGCGTCACATACGCGCCCAGCGCAATTTCCTCGTCCAGACCGAGGAGCAATATATATTCCTGCACGACGCTCTGGTCGAGGCGATCGCCTCCGGCGAGACCAATCTGCCGGCCGAGCAAATCGAGGAGCTCAAGAATTGTACACCTTACTTGGAGCAGCAGTACAAGAATATCATACAATTCCAGACAAAGGACATACACATCGCCTCCGCCATGAAGCAGGTGAACTCGATCAAAAATCGCGGCGCCATCTTTCCCATCGAGGGCAGCCGCGTGCATTTAACACCGAAGCCCGGCGAGGATGGCAGCGATTATATCAATGCATCCTGGCTGCACGGCTTTCGGCGTCTGCGCGACTTTATTGTCACCCAACATCCGATGACGCACACGATAAAGGATTTCTGGCAAATGGTCTGGGACCACAATGCGCAGACCATTGTCCTGCTCTCCTCGCTGGACGACATTGTGAGTGTGAAGAGCAACCGCTCCATCGAAGACAAATCTCTGACAAGATTTCCTTTTTCTTTTGTAGAACTTCGCGCAGTTCTGGCCGGACGAGGCCACGCCCATCGAGAGCGATTATTATCGCGTCAAATTCCTAAACAAGACAAACAAAAGCGACTACGTGAGTCGCGATTTTGTTATACAATCCATACAGGATGACTACGAGCTGAGCGTCAAGATGCTGCACTGCCCCAGCTGGCCGGAGATGTCCAATCCGAATAGCATCTACGATTTCATTGTCGATGTGCACGAACGCTGCAATGATTATCGCAACGGACCCATTGTGGTTGTCGACAGGTGAGCCCAAAAGTGAATCCTTACCTCGATGATGATCCTAATCCAAGTAATCCCTTGTTAGATATGGCGGCGCACAGGCGTGCACATTCTGTGCCATCTCGTCGCTGGCCATCGAGATGGAATACTGCAATACGGCGAATGTGTATCAGTATGCCAAGCTATATCATAATAAGCGACCCGGCGTTTGGACCTCCAGCGAGGATATACGTCTCATCTATAATATTCTGTCCTATTTGCCTGGCAATCTCAGTTTATTGAAGCGCACGGCGCTGCGCACCGAATTCGAGGATGTGACAACGGCCACGCCGGATCTCTATAGCAAAATATGCAGCAATGGTAATGTTATACACCAACAACATCAACAACAACAACAGCAACAGCTGCTGCTGGCACAGCAGCAACAACAGCTGCTGCAGCTGCAAATGCAACACGAAACACAACAGCTACAACAGCTACAACAACAACAGCCGCAGTCAAATCTCATTAGTCATAGTCATGCAACAGTAACAATTACCGAAACAACAACTGCAGCAACAACTGCAACAACAACAACAACAGTCACAAATACAACAAATACTAATTCTAGCTTATTGCCCATCTCATCATTGTTACCACCCGCAGTTGCTCCATCATCCATCACACCCACACCCAGCAATGACATGCCCAATCCAACAACAACAACAACTACAACAATTCCTACACCAACAACAACACCAACAACAGCAACAACACCTACAACTGATCTAACCCATACTAATGCTAATTTTACCACTGTTACTAATAATGCTGCTGATGTGCCGCCAATTGTTGCTCTTAATGCTGATGAACTGGCCCAACAACAACAACAACAACAACTACATCAACAACAACAAATGCTCGCGCTGATGCAACAACAAACGCAATTGCAACAACAATACAACACGCATCAACAACAACAACAACAATCGGATAATGCCAACTGTCTGCTGCCCGCGCATGTTGATGAATTGCTCCAACCTGCAACAACAACAACAACAACGACGACGACAACACCTTTGTGCAACAACAACAACAACAACAACAACCTGCAACAACCGGCAGCAGTCACAGATGCTCAAAACTTAGATATTGTAGCTTAGATTTAATGTTACAAATAATTGCAAAAAAAAAATCATTTTATAAATGCTAGCATATAAATACAACTAAATCTAAATATACATATACATATATAATTATGATTATTATTAAAAAATTTAACATAATTAAATATATAATTATTGTAAACATTTGCCTAGTTTTATTAAGCGAGTCCTTAAACCTATTTTACATATTATTTAACATTTATTTATTGCTGTACACGTTCTTCTTCTTTTTATTTGTACTTTTACCCATATATTGTTTTAAATATCTTTTCGAGTCCTTCTCAAGTCCTGTTTATAAATAAATACCCAATCAATCGATTATTTATATATTCAATGTTTAATTTAAAATTATATTATTGTATTCAAAAGTAGTCGCAAGCAACAAAACATAAAATAGACAATTAAGCAAAAACTAGCAGCAAGGCACATGATTAAATATATTAAAATATATATATATATATATGCATATATATCATAATAATGTTTAAATGTAGTTGAACGCACAAAATGCTAAAACAGTTCCCAAAATGAAAAACTCAAAACAAAAAAAAAAGAAGAAATTGCCCTTAATTAATTTAGTTTTTATGTACGAGTAAATCGAAAGTTTGTGCCATGCTCAAAATATTGAGTTCAAATCAGGTTCTTATATAAGGTCAGTTACCGTTAAATATTGTCATATTGTTTGCTAAATTGATTCAATGTCCGTCCTACAATCTGTTAACTGTTTAATTCTGCTCAAAATTCTTCACAACGATTTCAAAAGCAAAAGAAAACAACAAAAAAAGTAAGACAACAAATAATCGTAGCGAAAATTATGCGAATTTAATAGAGAGGAAAATGAACATATTTACGACAAATTTTGCATACATATAGATAATGTCATGTCTAGATATATACATATATATATATATATATGTATATGTATTTTCAAAGGCACAAGAAATATTTTCTCAAATTTATTCGAAGCACCTAAACAAGCAACGCATCACTGTAAATCCAAAAAAAAAATAACAAAAAATTAAATTAAATTAAATTAACTAAAAAAAAAAAAGAGAAAGCACATCACAAATGTAAATATATGTATGCCTCGTAGATGTAGAGAAACGCATGAAAGAATGAGAAAAATAACTAAGCTTAAGACGAGATTCACGCTATAAATATTGTAAAAAAAAAAATCGAAAAAAAAACATAAATAAAAAACATTGCAAAACAAAAGAAATTGCTTTAGTATCTAAGAACTAATTGTGTGTAAATCGTAGCGCAGGCAAAAGTATTACTAAAATATAAAGTCGTGTGGAAAAACAAAAAATAGAAAAGAAAACTGCAAAAATATTGAAAATTGTTTTTCTTATATGTAAGCATGAGAAAAATCGCACCAGAAATAAGATTTGAAAAAAAAAAAATAATTGTGAGCACAGTGTGTTTCCCCTCAAATGGTCCAATGCCATTTTGTACAGATTCAAAAGTAATTTAATGCGTGTCCCAGGCTAAAATGGATTACACAAGTTTAAAACTATATATATTTATAGTATATAGTATAGAGCAGTCCGCTTTAAATATATATAAATATATGTGTGTGTGTGTATAATCCGTAAAACGCAAAAAGTTGGGTTCTCTGGAATATTCCCCCCACAATTATGCTTCGAGTGCGCCCCATTCACAATCGGCTCCAGATTTGAGCGATATTTAAGATTATATGCATTTGTATAATGCGAATATAAGTATGTAATTTACTGATAAAAAAAGAAAACATAAATGTTTTAAAGACTGGTTTTTTGTACACTTTATCTTAAGCAGGTGTATACTGTTTATATTAAATATGTATTATTGTATCTAAACTTGATTTCAATCAAATTGCTTTCGATTTCGGGTATACCAAAACTTGCAACATTTAATAGATATCACTATCAGCCTAACTATTATTAAACTCTACTCTATTATTTTGCCCAAAAAAAAATCAAAGCTGCATTTCTAGATGAAAACTAAAAAAAAAAAACCTTTAACCTAACGACCAATTTTTGAAATTATTTTTGTTATAGAGCTATGCAAAACTCTAGGCACTTGGATTAAATTAAATGTTTAAGAAACGTTTTACATATGTATATGTATAACTCTAGAAGGCTTGTAAATTCTCATAACTCAAAAGAAAAAAAAAGCATGGCAAAACTAGAATGCTTCATCTGTAATATACATACGAAAAGCCCATATTATTTTCAAAAAACTAAAGCATTTTAACTATGAAAACACAAAGTAGTTATTAGCATGTATTATTAAAAATAAAAACGAAAATATTTAATGAATGAATGGATATTTGTAAATGACAGCCAAACAATCTTGACAGCACCTGGCCTGGCATATGTTTATTCCCAGCCAATGTGAAGAAGAGAGCCGAAAAAAAAGAAAAATATTCGAAAAAAAAAAAGAAAACTGCACACACTTCTCGAGCAAGGAAACCTTTCCAAGACTAACTACCTTCACAAATCATATAATTAATATATATATATATATTATCTAATTGACGGTGTTATGCAATTTATAAATGTGATGAATGTCAAACTTAAGCGTATAAAAACGTATACAAAAATATTAAAAAAAAAAAACAAAACAAGAAAACAGTTTAGTAAAAAAGCTGAAATGTAGCGAAAACCGAAGTAAGCATAACCCACGATTTTAGAGCTAAGCATAAAGCGAAGGGTTGATACCAGAAAGCAGCCCATAGTTTTTAAAGGGAATTACAGAGTAGCAGCAAAAAAGAGGATAACGAGAAAAGCGAAGAGTAGAAGTGCAGCAAATGGAGTCAAGCAAGTTTAAAGAGTAGCAAACAAAATGAACGCTTCTTCGCGTAGAAGCAAAGAAAAAGATAAAGTATCTCGAAAAAACAGAAAATTGAAAAAAAAACAAGCAAAAAATATAAGTTTAAGTTACGGATAAGCTAATGAAGAGTTGATATGGATGCAAAAACAAAAAGAAAAATCTTATAAACCTAAAGTGAATGGAAATACAAATAAAGAACATCTAATTTAAATTGTTTCGTTCAGACTCACATTTAAAGCGGAGCGCGCGTTTCCAGCGTAAATTCCACATCCATCTGGCCAAAGCTGCTGCGTGGCAACACGTCGGGCAGCCAGGAGATATATAAGCCACTTTTTATCTGCAAGCAAGAAATTACAGGGTATTACAAGCTACTTTTGTGGGCTTAGCTTAGGACACAACTGGCATTCCTGGCGTTTCAACCTGGCATTCCACTTGGCCACAAAAAACCTTCGAGCCTTAACCCGAAATGAACATTATTTTTGTTGAACGAAAGCATTTTGGAACATTGAAAATATATCTTTTGAATACATTCTGATTTTGTCTTCAGTCTTCATGAGGATTTGAACCCCAAACTTTGTCCACTGAATTTGTCTAACCCTATTTGAAGATTGTATTTGAAAATAAATATATGAGCAAATAATATTCCTAACAGATTTCAGTAGAACGGGTAGGTTATACCCAACATTAAAAAGAATTTCCTGGAAATTTAACCTAACCATACAATTTTTTAAAATAAATGAAGTTGTTTAATTTCTAATTGCCCAGGTTCAAACAAAAATCGGATTGCATTAATGTGGAATGTCAGGTTTGCGAACCGAATTCAATAAATTACAGTTGTTTTAAATTACAGATGAGTTTTAAATTTCACCTGTTGCTCGACATCGAAGAGCATTTTGACCATAAAAAGCCTCAGTTTGGTATGCACCAAGCGCTGTTTGGTCTGTGCGGCTGTCTGCGTGGAAGTCTGTCGCACATAGGGCACAAAATGTCCATCTGCATGGCGTTCAAAGCAGCGCTCCAGCTGCAAGCTGAGCTATTTATATATATTATATAACAGAAACATCAATTAGCTATCTAAATTTATTCATTTAATATACATACATTGCGACTGCTGAAGATGCGCTTCACCGTGTGCGAGGCGCTAAAGTGCCAGATATACTTGCTGAGACCTTTGTGTCTGCCGGCTTCGATGACTGCAACTTGGTGCAAGGGACGCCGCTTAATGCCCGCACTGAAGCTCTTGCTAAAGTGCGAAAATGTTTCCTGAAATACATTAATATCAGATAAATGTTTTCGATATATATAAGACTATTTGTCCTGACTTATTTATGATCTACACACAAAGCAAACCGCAAGGGTTGGGCGAATACCACCTCGATCTTATTTGAACTCATATTTAAGGATCTAAGTAAATTCGTGAGATCACACCCAATGAATCTCACCTTGTGCACATGAAAGCTTTGGAGCAGCTGCCGCGTGCTAACTGCCTGCATAGCCGTAGGATCGGGCTCGATGGATACGTTGAGCAGCTCTATCACATAGTCCAGCCAGGCCTGATAGGCCAGAGCCGGCTCCACAGCCACGCCCACAGTCTCAGCAGCAGCAGTTTTGCAGGTCGGCTCATTCACGATGAGCGCACGCTTTGCCGGCAGCGGCGGTTGCTTGCGCGTCTTGACTTCCTCCACAATTTCAGAAGCTTTGATAGCGGACTTCTTGACCACCGCAATGGTGGGCAGCTCTATGGCGTGCAGCTGATGCTGATTGTTGGCTGCTGGCGGCGCCTTTGTATAGATGGGCTGAGGCGCCAAGATGTTAAAGGGTTCGCTAACCAGCGGCAACTCAATATCATCGCTGCACAAATCAATTTGGTCGGTCAGTTGATATTGATCCATTAGCTCAATATTGCAATCTGTCAGCTCCAGATGTTGGTCCTGCTGCTGCTCAGCGTATATATCGAAATTGGACAAAAGCTGTGTGTCGTTGACCAAACTGCTGCAGGTGCTATTGGAAGAAGGCGTTGTGTTCACATCGTAAATAATATCCGAGAGCTCCTCCGGCATGGGCAGCAGCTAAAATATATATATTTATAAGAATTGTGAAGTTTGTTGGGACTGCAACAAGCTTACATCCGTGTCTGCCACACAGAATTCATCGTCAAATATGTATATATCTTCGGAAGGATCAATATCGCCGCTTAAGTTGATGCTCAAGCTCAAATGCAAATCGTCGTGCGTGGCCTCGCCCAGTGGCGTCTCCAGCTTGTCGGGCATCCAAAATGTTTGCAGGCTCCTAGTAAAGTTGCCATAGATTGTTTTGCCCTGTGGCGAACTGAGTATGCCGGCCAGCACGAGCAGCAAATGGTCACAGATTTCGTCCTGCATGACCAGCGAGTTGTCCGGCTCGACAATAATCTTTAGCTTGCGACAGGCACACGCATATGTGCCCTTCTTGGTAGACAGTCCATTGGCAAGGGCCGTCACGTGCAGTTGCCCAGCTGGAAATGTATTCGAGCACTCGCACTTGACCACAAAAGTGGTTGCGTTTAGGCGCTGCACCGCCGGCAGCTGTTCCCGGTCCTCGGCCGACTTGTACTGCTGCCAGAGCTGTTGCTTCTGCTCCAGACTGATGTTCAGATTCCAGAGCACCTCGCGCGACACCGTGTACACCTGCGCTTTGGGCATCTGATCGTGTCCCTCCCGGCAGGCTTTTATGTGCCGGCAATCGTTGTCGGCCTTGCATGCATCCACATAGCACACGGCTTTGCTGGACACCACAGCTGCATTCGGTTGCAGCGAAAGCGTCACATCCTCAATGCACACGAAATTGCGCGGCTGCGCCTCCGGATCTCGTTCTTTGGTGCGCACCGAATAGATGGCACAGCCGGCTCGCCGGCAGACGAGTTGTACGCCATCGAGCACATTCTTGTTTTGCGGACATGTGGTATTCCGGCAGAGGAGCGCACGACTGCCATTTATGGCGCCACAACTTGCACATTTTCTCAAGCCGCGTAATGTGGGACGCTGAATTTGTTTTAAATCCGCACATTTAGTTTCGCTAGTCATAGCCGCAGTGTTGCCAGATCACTTGAGAAACATGGTTGACCTATCGATACAGCTATCGTATTGAATATTATCGATAATAGAAGCTTCTTTAGGCGCCAAGTCAAATTTTCAAATTTGATGCAATTTAATTGTTCAGTTTATACAAAACAGTACAAAACAGATCTTAATTCGGTTTTTTTTTTAAATTATCAAATCACAAGCTCGCTGTATGCCGCTGCAAACTCTCTAGACAATCAAATTCAACCTGAGCCTCAATCCAGCGAGCCACAGTGAGCAGCAGCTGTTCATTGAGGCTGTTGCTCATCAGCTGCAGGCTGAGCGGTAAGCCAGCTTTGGACAAACGCACGGGTATCGAGACAGCTGGAATGCCTGCCATATTGGCTGGCTGTGTGCAAAAGTCCTGCACAGCGCACTGATCGCGATTGCTAAGTGCCCTGAAGTCCTTGTAAAGCGGCGCCTCACTTAACGTTGTCGGCGTTAGCAGTATGTCCACCTGCTCATTCGCTGACGACGCCTCAAACACCTTGGCAAAGTCTTCGGCAATCAAACGACGCACACGCAACGCCTTCTCAAAGTAATGGTCGTAGTTTTTGCGCAACAGCAAAAAGTTGCCCGTCAATATGCGCGTTTTGACCACTTGATTGAAGCCCTCGGCACGAGTCTGGGCATATAGCTGTTCGGTGCTGCGCTCATCGTCGGCACGGTGTCCATACTCGATGCCATCGTACCGCGCCATATTGCTCGCCACCTCGCACTGATTCAGAATGGAGTAGACGAATATGCTGGCCGCTGTGTGGGGCAATGATACCTGCCACACACTGGCACCGGCGCACTCCAGCAAATCGGCCACCTTGGTCCAGGTTTCTAGCACTTCGGTGGAAAGTCCATCGCAGTGATATTCTTTGGGTATGCCTATGCGCAGGGAACGCAAATCAATTTGCTCAACTTCCGGCAATTGGAGCTTCTTGTATGGCTGTCGTATGGTCGTGGAATCCAGTGAATCCGGTCCGGCAATAGCATTTAGCACTTCAACGCAATCGCTAACCGAACGCGTTAATATGCCGGGCACATCCATTGAATTGACCAGCGGTATTAGGCCATGGCGCGAACAAAGTCCATAAGTGGGCTTAAGACCCACGACGCCGCAATAAGAGGCGGGATTGCGTGTAGATCCGCCCGTATCAGATCCAATTGCGCTGCAGCAAGAAAAACAATAATTTAACAATAAAGTTGGTGATCACAAATAAATTGAACACGTATAAATGAAGTTAATTGATTTAAACTTTTTTCCGTTACACTTCGATAATTAAACATCGATCATTAACACTTGTAATTACTTTAGATATCGATATATCGCTGGCCTTGCTGCTTTCGATAACTGCACAGCTGACAGCTGGCAAACGGTCACACTGCGCCAAAAGCGAACGCAAAACTAAAAACATTTACGAGAAATTGCAAATATTTTGTAGCGTGCCCAAGCGATGTCTGCGCTCTTTCGCCTAACCAGCCGTGCCATAGCGCTGCAGCGTTCCGCAGCGCTAAACCAGGCGGCCACGCTACGATTGTCCCGCAGCATCAAAACATCACCCAAGAAGGATGAAACTGTCGCAGCACCAGCCAGCGTTACAACCGAAGACTTTGCCAATCCCAGCCCGAAAAACTGGATGAGCTATGGCTTTGATTACAAGTCCGAAACGGAGGATCGGAAAGCAACAAAATCAACATTCTTCGTTGCCGTCACACTCTGCCTGGTTTGGGGCACGTTCTACTGGTCGTATTTGCCCGATACACAGCTGCGCAGCTGGGCACAACGCGAGGGATTCTTGGAGCTGCGTCGCCGCGAAAAGGCGGGCCTCGATCTGGTTAGCCCCAATTATGTGGACCCAGCTAGCATTGTGCTGCCATCGGACGAGGATCTCGGCGATACGGAAATTATAATTTAAACAATTAGTGCTCTAACCCTTAGTTTGTTTTGTAAGCGAATGTTATGTAATGGAAAATGCTGTTGCCCGCAGCTGGAACGCGTCTCCTGTGCGTAAATAAACGAACATATTTCGGCACGAAATCATCGTTTTGCCTGCCAGTTTTAAAAGTGCATTACGCAAAAAATATACGCGAGTTTTTTCACTTTTGTTTTGAAGGCTGTCGCAGTTTGAGGTTAGAGAGAACCAAACAAAATGTAAACAATTGAAAAAAAATACTTACGCATAACACAAACCAGCTGCAACAGCTGACGCGGATCCGCCGGAACTGCCGCCCGCTATGCGCCAATTGTCGCCACTAAAGGACTCGCTCCAAATGTTTTTGGTTGGCCCATAAATGGAGTCAACTGTGCCGGCGCCCATCGCAAATTGATCCATATTCGTCTTGCCCAGCAAAACGGCGCCGGTTTCACGCAAACGTGCACAGACAGTCGCATCGTAGGGCGGCACAAAATCCTGGAGCGTGCTGTAACAGAGCATTTCTTTAACAATATTGGCTTAACGAACAGATCTTTAGCTGGCTACCGGGAGGCGCAAGTTGTGGGCACTTTGCTGGTGCAGAAATTATCCTTAATAGCTATGGGGACGCCATCCAGGCTGCCGAGGGATCGCTGTTCCGCATAGCGTTGCGCCGACTCCTTGGCCTGCTGCAGTGCCAGCTCGTCTGCAATGCACACAAAGGCATTCAACGTCTTCAGGTTGCTGGCATCCTGCAGCGCCTGCTCCGCCACAGACAGCGGCGACAATTGGCCATTGATGTAACCGGCGGTTAGCTGAAAGTTGAATCCGTTTAAAAGGCAGCTCCAAAACTTGATCATTTCACATACCTGTTTAATGCCCAGCTGTAAGTGACGCCTCATGCTCACGCAGTATCCAAAAGTCTAAGGTCCTTAACTTAAGCAAGTAACTTTTATTTAGAAAACGCACATTATAAACAATAATTCAGGCATTCAATCTAAAAACTGTGTGCATGCACAGGGTGCCTATGGCAACACCCTGTCAACTAGAGATGCGCGCCATATCGATAGTCTTATCGGCGCGCTGCAGTATTAAACGTTTCATAAATACAAATTTAAAATTCAACATTTTAACTAACAATTAAACACGTACATATATTTCATAAAACATTAAGCGTTTTCAAACTAGTTCCATAAAAGACATACTGCATCATTAAACTAAACATAAAAAGTTGTCAAAATTTGACTATATGCTACGATCCCATTCTACACATTGCACTAGGCTAGCTTCTTGATCTTATCCTTTGGATTGTGTTCGCCATGTGCTGTGGTTATATTAAGAGAATTATTTGCGTCTAGCTCCTTTTCCTTTTGCTCTTGCTTGATCTCACGCTTAATGTTTGTGGAAGACGATTCTTCGTCCTCTGTCTCAGATTCGCATTTCTGTGAATGAGAATTGGCTTGTATTAATATTGTTTTTCGACATTTCAATTGATGTTGATGGAAAATGTTAGAAATGTACATGCAGTTAATGATTTCAATTAGTTCAGTAGTGCATCGAACCAGGGCAGCTGTTCAATGCCTTCGAGAATATTCAACATATCACCCTCGGTTTGATTAAATTCAAAATTCTGATCGTTTTGCATGGCATTTGGATTGGAGTTATCATTGGAAACAGCATCGTTTGAGGTGGCTTCATCTGGATTGGAAATTTGATCTTGATTTTCAAAAATAATGCTACGATCGGTCATAAATGGATCTTCGAGCCCCAGCCCCAGCTCACTACAGTCCATATCAAGTAACATGGCATAATTTTGATCAATTGAATTTGCCAGATCTTCGGCGGTATCATGATCAAAATCGAATATACCATTTGTTAAATCCAATAGATCATTGTGAGTACCAGCCGAATCGATGGACTCATCAATTTGTTCACCGTCACCGATAAAAGTATCCACACTGCCGCCGCCAGTCGCAAATATACTTTCGATCGACGGTATGCTCGGCACTTCATAAAACTATGGAGGGGAGGGGGGGATGAGAGGTCGGTATTTTATTCAAAATTTGATCACAAGCTTTGTTCATTAAACGCTACGAAATACTTACATATTTATGCGTATGTATGTCTAGCTAAGACTATACTATATATAGTTATATATATACATATATATATATATATATATATGTGTGTGTAGTGCAGCACTACAATCTAATGGAGGTGTGGCTGCTGCGCGGCTAGATCGATATAAATCGATTGCAATCGATCGTGTTTGTCATTAGGTTGAGTTGTATGAATGTTGTTGTGTTTAAATGTATGTATATGCAAATTAGTATGTACACAAATGTATGGGCCCCAAATGTTGTACAAGGCTCTGTAGTTTTTAGTGCTAGTGCTATAGATAGTGCTATTGGTAGTGGGTATTGGTAGTAGTATTTAGGCACAGCCTCTAATTAACGCACCTTTTGTATATACTGGCGCTTGGCCGGCGCCACGCTCAAATGCAGCACACACGTCGAGTCCTCGAGTATGCTTGCGACTGGCTCTTGGCACACGACACCGCTGCGCTCGACGCCGCAGGCGCGATACAACACCTGACGCTTGTCCTCGAGTATGTGCTTGCGACAATGCTTGCAACAGGGCAACGTGCGTTCGCCACACTTGACTCCGCCCTCTGTAAAAACGCACTTAGCCTGACTGGAGGCCTTCGTAGAAAGTACTGTGTCGCGTGCTCGTTTCTCTTTCATCTTTTTATAGAGCACCGCCTCCATCCCCTGTCGGCGATGATAGCCATTCAACGCCTTCAATTGTTCGTACAATTTGCGCTCGTGCGGCGTCTCCTTGAGCTGGTCATGAATGCTGCCTGCGTGCAAATAACAATTATTTACATGTATATAAATATGTATAGCAAGTAAATTAATAAATTACAGTATGTTTCGCGCTCGCGGCGTATGTCCTGCAAATAGCTGCGCCGCCGCTGCTTTAAGACATGCTGCAAGTGTGTAATCTGATCGCGGTACAAGCCCTGCAGCTTGATCAGCTTCAATTCGGACAGACGCACAGCCTCCGCGCGTGTATAGACGCCGGCATGCCTAGAAATTAGACCAGAGTAGAATTCAGTAAAGAATTTTCAGTAAGTGCGAAAAAGTAGTTTATATTGACTTACTTGAGCGGATCGTCTTCCTCAGAATCGACGCTCTCATAGTCGGATTCAAAGAACTCCAGATCTTTTGCCGTATTTCTTAGGCAAGGCGGATCATCGTCATTACTGGAGCTATCCGAGGCATAATCTAAAATACGACAACGCTTGCGCACACTGGCCACAACTTGTGGTATAGAATTCGTATGATCCTGATTGACTGCAAGAAAGAAAAAGAGGCATGAAATGAGATTTAATGACTATGCAGACATGTGTGTCGTATTTATCTAACTAATTCCCGACAAACCCTTCTGTAGGAACTGTATGATATAGCAATAAAGTAGTTGAAAACAATTTGCTTGCAAGTTGGGACTCGACTCCTCTTGTAAAACTCGGATCTAAGCCAAGTTTCATCAATACAGTTTAAGATATATAACTATTGGAATAGAAACAAGCTGGGATCAGAGATGTCTCCCCCCATACTTGCCCCATACTCACCAAAAGGCGTCACATGCGGCGACACAACATCGATTTCATCATCATCCGGCTCTGGTTTGGGCAGTTCCGGCTTGATGTCCTCGACATTCACGTGATGCGACAGGCTATTAAGGAGCGTCTCATTAGTCTCGACGCGACTACGAAGACGACCCACCGAAAGGTGAGTCTTTTGCAGCTGCGTCTGACGGTTGTGCTCGAAGCAGAGCGTGGTGTGAATCAGCTCCTTTTTGGTATCCAATTTGGGCACCGCATTGGCGCACTTGCGTCCATTGGGGAACACATGGGTGCACTGGCGATAATTGGCGCGCGGATCACGCAGAATGTGTCGAATGCAGTACTCGTAGCCGTCCAGGCGCATTAGGCTGCAGGCATAGGTGGGATTGCTGCAGTATTTGATTTTTGCCAGTTCGCTGTGGATTTGTTCGCGTAGTTTTTGCTCCTTTTCTGGTGTGCAGGCAGTGCCCGTAAACCGTGCGCATTGGCGCAATTGGTTTGGCGAAAAACTTGCCATTTCGTGTCTATGCTGCGACAGAATTTTCGGCGATGCGACTGAAAAATGCGTTGCTATTGTTAGAGATGGGCGATTGCTATTGATAATCAGCAATAAGGTAACCCTAAATGGTTTCATCTGCGATATATTTTTAGTACCAGTTCATCGTGCGTGAAATTAGCGACACTGTCTTACGGCGATTTTTGGAACTTGGATCCGGAGCTGGAATCACTCACTTTTAGGTTTATTTATTTAGGTTTTTAAGCACAAAACCAAATAAATTTTAATGCAGAATTGCAAAAATTTGAAAAATCTACTTAGCTTATGAGTTGCTGAAATCTATTCCAAATATCTTTAAAACGGCACCGTCGATGTTTACGATTCGTTAGGTGAATAGGCTTTAATCGTGCATATTCGGGCTGCGGGGCCATTATCCCAGATTTAAAATATTTAAAGAATAGTGAAAGCCTGATTTTTCAACTCCTTGGCCTAGCCATGTCATAAGCTGAAATTCAAAAACAAATGACTGTAGACAGTAAATTTGTAAATTTTTTTTTTCAATTCTACATAAATAAATGCATGAATAAGTGAGTGATTCCAGCTCCGGATCCAAGTATCAAATATCGACACTAAACTACCGTCGCTAATTTCACGCACGTATTTATGAACGCAATTGTAACGGTATGGCTGCCGATATTTTTGTGCTATAAAACGTCCCATATTTAAATAATAAAGAATTTAAAGCAAACAAATTACATCGAAGAAATTACAGATATAAGATAAAAATGCTAAAATAAATAAACTATATAAATTATACGAAATGATTTTAGTAAGCTTGTCACAATCGATAGTGTCTGCACAAACTATCGATAGCGTTGACGATATTTTCTGCTCATCTCTCTTTCGCGTTTATGTTTGTCAAAACAAAAATTAAAATCAAAAAATTTTTTAGCTATTGTATAATTAGCGTTTAATCAAATCAATATCCACAAAATGCAATGTAAATAAGTTCCCACTGTGTTTCTGTTCATATATGTCTTCATGTTGTTTCGCGTAAAGTAACCAATTGCTGTCTGAACAATCCTACCCCGTGTGAGCAAAAAAAAATGGACTCATTTAAGCTTAATGCTCCGTGCACTTGTGCTGGCCACTAAACGTAAAATATTTATTCGGAAAGCAGCAAAGAAACGATAATGCTGCAGTATAAAAACGCGAACACAACTCTTGCCAGTGCGGTCAATAACAACAACAATGGGCAAACGAACTCTGCCACGCCCGCCGCCTCCGCCAAGGCAGCAAATAGTGCGGGTGCCGTCACGAATACGTCTACTTCTGCGCCCGCACCGCAAATGCAACAGATCATAAACATACATCAGATGCCGCCACAGTTTATGCAGGCAGCGCAACTGCAGCAGGCTGGCGGCGCCACCACAGTGTCCGGCCTGCCGCAGAACATGTTCCAGATCGTGCAGCCCATGGGCATGCAAACGGTCAACATTGACGGGCAGGAGGCCATCTTTATACCCAATCTAAATGCACAGCTGGCCACAGCTCAAGCCGTTAACATAAATGGCCAGCAGGCGTTCATAACGCCCAACGGCCAGATAGTGCGGGCGCCACAGGCGATGCAAACACATGATCCCAACCAGACGCAGCTATTCACCATACCCGGCACTAACATACAAATACCTTTGGCGAATATTGTGCAGCAGCAGCCGCAACAGCAGCAGCACCAGCAACAACAACAACAACAGCAGCAGCAGCAGCAGCCTCAACAATCCGCCACACCAGGACTCGCACAACAACAGCAGCAGCAACAGCAGCAGCAGCACAACCAGGCGACTGGTGCTGCGGCGGCGGGGCAAACAATCACCATTCCCGGCACCAACATACAAATACCCACCTCTGTGGCCGCCGCAAATGGACTGCTGGGCAACATAACGAATCTGCTGGGCGGAGCGCCGACCACAATTAAGCTGGAGAACGGACAGACGCTGCAGAATATACAATTGCGAGCTGCAGCGCCCGGTTCCGGACAGCAATTGCTGCAATTTCCGCAGCCAGCGCCGGCGGCACCGACGCTGCAGCAAACGGTGGCCGTGCAGATACCCGTGCAAACGGCCAACGGACAGACCATCTACCAGACAGTACATGTGCCCGTTCAAGCGGCTGCGGCGCCATCGACACCGGCGCAGCCCACATTGTCGAATCTAACGCAATCAATCCAGGCGTTGCCCGCCTCCATGCAACAGGCGGCTGCCCAAATGCAGATCATACCACAGTTTGCACAAATTGCCCAAATTGTCACGCCCAACGGGCAAATACAACAGGTAATGATGGCCTCCAACTAGCAACTGCGATTAAATACACTTTTTTTTAATTAATACAACTCAATTTTGCACTTTCTGCTAGAGTTTATAGAGGTCCGATTTTGATGAGTTTTTGGTGCTTAAGGCATAAATTATTTGGAAACAGACAGAATCCAATTTTGACTTAGATTGTTTCTAGTAGCTGTTGATAAGCTACTGCTAACTTGTTAGTCTCTAAATGAAGATATTAGGTAGTTGTTAAAACAATTTTGGGGCGAACATTTAGTTTCATCCCAATTCAATCCCATATAAGAACTTAATAAATACAAACGTGCACGATTTGGGAGAAGTTCCACTCGCAACTCTGCGATAGTTTTTTGAGTACGATCTGATCGGCTTCTATCTCATTTTTAAATGTCTTCTCAAAAATGTGCTTCAGCTAATTTGAACTAATTTTGATTTATATTACTAATTTAATTTATCCCAAATTTAAGCAATCCATTGGAAAATTAAAAAAAGCATGTTTCGAATCAAAAACTGGATTCACAGATATGGCAAACTAGGTTCACGAGGTGATCCTTAAGTCGTTCTCCCAACCAAGATCAAGAGTTTTGTCATCTCAGAGCAATTTATGTTCAGTAGTTAGTCAACCCCTTCAAAAGAACACCTATTACTTTTATATGCACAGATAATTGAATATAATGAAACTTTAACATTGTTTTTGTACAGGTTCAGTTGGCGCCGCTGAATGCACTCAACTATTCGCAGCTGCCGCCGAATGCGAATATCATACATATACAGAATCCCCAGCAGCATCAGCAGTTCGTGCAGTCGCAGCCCCAGCTACAGCAGCAGCAGCAACAGGCGCAACAACAGCAGCAGCAACAGCAACAGGCGCAACAACAGCAGCAACAACAGCAACAACAACAACAGCAGCAGCAGCAGCAACAACAGCAACAGGCGGCAGCAGCAGCAGCAGCTGTGCAACAACAGCAGCAACAGCTCTTCAATGCCATCAACGAAGCGGGCGGACAATTGCCGGCAAATCAGCCCATAACCATAACAAATGCACAGGGGCAACAGTTGACGGTGATACCCGCACAGCAGTTGCAACAGTTTCAACAGCTGCGGGCAAATCAAAATGCTGCAGCAGCTGCAATGCAACTGCAATCGGGCAATCTGCAGGCGCTGCCCATACAAAACATACCCGGGCTGGGTCAGGTGCAGATCATACAGGCGAATCAATTGCCAGCGAATATGGCTGCCAACTTTCAGCAGGTGTTCTCTCAGCTGCCCATGCCGATGCAAACGACAACAACAACAAACGCTGTCGGCAATCAGGCGCAGCATGCGCAGAATACACAAGCGCTGAGTATGCTGCCCAAGCAGGAGCCACAGAGTCCCACGCAGTTGATCACGAGCATTAAACAGGAGCCGCCAGACGCGACCGTCTCGAATACGGCGAACACCACGGTCCAGCAGCCACAACAGATCAAGTTCATTATGCCACAGTCGCCACAGCAGCAGCAGCACCAGCAGCATCAGCAACAACAGCAGCAGCAGCATCTGATTGCAGATGGAAGCAGCAGCAACTGTCTCCCTGCCGTGACAATACCAGCCTCCATACAGATAACCGCCTTACCGTCACCGGCGCCGCCGGCGACGGCACGCAGCACGCCCAAGCTGACCATGACCAGCATAGGCAGCAGCAGCAGCAATACCAGCACACAGATAACCATGAGCTCGGCAGGGCAAATGGTGGCGGTGACAACGCCAGCGCGTGCCAAGCAGCTGAAGCAAGCGACGCAGCCAGCGGCGGCGGCGACCAGCGTCAATGTGAACATCAATGTGGGCGAGAGCATGGTGCCGGAGATTAAGCCGCGGTTGAAGCGCGTCGCCTGCACCTGTCCCAACTGCACCGATGGCGAGAAGCATTCGGATCGCAAGCGTCAGCACATCTGTCACATACCCGGCTGCAGCAAGGTCTACGGCAAGACATCCCATCTGCGCGCCCATTTGCGCTGGCATACGGGCGAGCGTCCGTTTGTGTGCTCCTGGGTGTTTTGCGGCAAGCGTTTCACGCGCTCCGATGAACTGCAGCGGCACCGACGCACGCACACGGGCGAGAAGCGTTTCCAGTGCCGCGAGTGCAACAAGAAGTTCATGCGCAGCGATCACCTGTCCAAGCACATCAAGACGCACTTTAAGACGCGCTCGAGCGTTGACCTCATCGAGCTAAACATTAAGCAGGAGCCGAAGATGAATGCGCCCAAAAGTATTAGCACCATGAGCGGCATTGTGACCATCGAGATACCGACGAGCGGTCCAGCGGCCAACGGCAGCGGCGCCTCCAGCGTGGCGGCAACAGTTGCGGGCTCAACTGTAACGTCAGCGCCGGGCGGTGCAACAATTGTCCAGCTGCCCACGCTAAGCGGCGATGATGGCGTTGGCGGCGCCTCCACGGACAGTTTTGGCGAGGATGACGATCTGGACGATGAGGAGCTGACCGAAGAGGATGACGAGGAACTTACCGAGGAGGATGAAGAGGACGACGAGGAGGATAGCGGCGATGAGGAGAAAATGACCATCTCGGTTAGCGAACTGGGCGAAAACTCATCCAACTAGCATTCGGAATCGCTGTTCATGGAACAGTTCATCTTTGACCACTTCCCATAGCCACAGCCTGCCCCCCTGGCAACGGGGCTGCCAAACGAATTGCAACCTGTTCAGTTGATACCAACCATAGCCTGGCCCAACAAGTACGACTAGTAGGCTTAATTGTATTTATGTAATCTGTTTATGTAAATCTTTGTATATAGTTGAGTTGAGAAATAAGTTATCCTTCGGCTCGCCGAAGCACACAAATCCTTGCAGAGGTCTTGATAACAAAGCACGTAATTTTATTTCACAATCAATTACAGCCTCTTAATTTTGTATATAGTTATATATTTATAAAATTAAGCTGTACGATTTTATTTTATCTTTAAGCTTGTAAAATATTTATTCAAAAACTTAAAAAAAAAACAAATTCATATCATAAATATAACAAAACATTTTACAATTTGTTCGTATAAATGTTTTCACCATATTTATTCGCCCAGTTCGAGCGTAACAATATCCACTGCAAGGGTAAAATAATTATTTTTATTTTATAAATGTATATTTTTGTAGCATAAGTTTTTACGATGCCAATGCATGCGATTGGTCAAAAAGCGAACGATTTAAAAACACACGCAATTTTAACTAGCATATTAGCATTAAAAAAAAGTATATATAGAACGTTTTAAGGTAATTTTTATACTCAAAACGCACAATAAAGTCGAACTATGTAACATATTTCTGCGAATGTTTAAGAAATGGCTCATTCAATTAGTTAGCATGCCTCTAAAGAAATGGTTCGGAGCATGGCGTTTGCGTGGATGTGGCCGGCACTTGGGTATTGAAGAGGGCATAGTCCTCGGTGGTTGATACAATTGGCTGACTCTGGGTTTGTGGCGTCTGCACATCCAAGTCTAAAGTGCCAATGGTTATGGACTCGGTATTGATTTGTACGGCAGCCTCGGCCCAGTCTGCGTCCGGCCCGTACTCATGCAAACTGGATTCCTCTGTATGCGCCGCAACCTCTAATTTACCAACTGTCTCTTGCGATTCTTCCATGACCCACATTTCGGGATCGTTCGTAAAAATCCCCAACGTTGACGCGGAATTTTGTGAATCTACAGAAGCCGGATATTTCAGTGCTGATGCTGATGCTGATGACTTTTGCTCGCCGCTGGACGGCGCCTGGTTGGGTATCTGCGACGACAACAGAGATGAACTTTCATTGCTGTCGGGCAGGACAGTGGCTTGTGAGGATTCTCGGTGCCAGCGATTTAATCGACAATTGTTCTCCTTCTTCAGTTGACAATGCCTAATATAATTGCATTTGGCAATCTCATCTGGCGTGTAGGGCAAAACCATTTTCTTGGCCACGGCCTTGACCAGCATCGCGTTGATAAAGCGCTCCGAGCGATTCGCCAGGCGTCCCTTTTTCTCCAGTCGCCGCTTAGCATCCCAAACGCAGTTGAAGAGTGTCATATTTACGCGTACTTTAGTGCGCAGACAAAGCTGTCTTTTCTCGTCCTGATTGTATTCACGCGACAAATCCTCGCTGGTTATTTTCTGCAAGCATAAAACATTAAGGACTCCGTTGTTCGATATTCATTAATCTCTAGTTGTACATACAAGCGGCTCATACAATTTGCGCACTAATTCTTTGTCATCGCCATCCAGTTCATCAGCTATGCTTAATATTTTGGCCTCCTCTGCATGTTGATATTTAATTAATACCTCCGATAAACAGCGCGCCATCATAGCTATATTATTGTTGAAATTTACAAAAATTGCGATGCTTTTGTTGTTATCAGTGTGACCCTTCAGTTAAAACGCACAAATACTCAAGAGATCCCGAAAATATACCAAAATACCGAATTTACGTGAGTTACGTAAGTTCAGAGAAGACGTAAGGAAATGAAAGAAGCCGAAACAAATGATAAATATGACATTTTATTGCCGTTACAGAATGAATAATCCTGAAATCTGAAAATATAATTCATTAATAATTTGTACATGTTAAATACGATTTACAATTTATAAATTTGTTTTAGTTGAATTTTATATATTACAAAATTTTTGGAATTCCGCCAAATAATATTAATTTAAGAATTAATTTTAAAGTTACTTGACATAATTTAAAAATAAAGAAAATTAAATTTTTTAAGTTATTATTACCACATTATACATACAATTCACAATAGTAATACATTATACATCAGATAATTGCTGTTATATTTAATTCGCGACCTTAAGCAATGGGGTATTCTCATGATTTCGCTGGATGCGAGCCTGATACGCTTCCTTTAACTGCATTAATACGTTGGCGAACAGGATTGTTCCAAAGAAAACGAGGACGGTGCCAATCCAATGGCTGATCGTGAACGGATTGCGAAAATAGAGAATGGAGAAGATCAGAGACACGAATTTGCGCAACGTAACGACCATTGTGACAATAAGGGAGGCGCATTCCGTGGTCAACACGTAAACGGCGCTGATGCAGATATATTGGGTGATCACATTGCACAGCAGATAGAAGAGCATCAGCGAAAAGGACCAAGTGATGCCCATTTTGTTTAGCAACGGGATGGCGACCTGCTCCGAGGCGATGGCAATATTCCAGTGTTGGACAATGTTGCCGGCCATAATGAGAAAGCCGGGCAGCGGCAGCATGTGCGTATAGAAGAGAGCCTCGTTCGGGTGTTTGCCGTAACGCTTGTAGATGACCTCCTGGTAAATGCCCATATAGGCCGTGACGAGCAGGGCAATTGCCAGCAGAGCAATGCCCACGCTCCACCAGAACAGATCCGAGAAGGACGTCTCCACCTTGGCCAGCGGATGCGTCTTGTCCTTGACATCGCCACTGGACACCAGCGTGCACAGTATTATGCCCGCCGTGATCATCACGACGGAGCTGTACTGCCGGAGATTGTAGCGCTTCTTGAGCAATATAATGCCCATGATCATGTTGGCCATCAGCGAACCGCTGCGGAAGATCATGTGCAGCGGCATGGGTATGTTGAAGTTGAAGGCATAATTATTGCACACGTTCGCGCCAAAGAACAGCACCACGAGCAGCACGTAATCCTTCAGAGCGATCTTCGGACTGACCGTAAAGAACTTCGATGTAAAGATCAGTCCATTTAGCGCAATAAACAGAAACTGCAGAAAGGTTATCAAATTGCCGGCACCTGGATCGATCTGAATGATCAATTCCAGAAAGACAACATTGCTGCAGCATCCGATGAACACAAACAACATGGCCAACAGAGCCTTCAGACTAGCCATGATGTCAATTAATTAAATAATATTTGGATTGCCAACATGCGCGACCTGTAGAGTCTTGAATTAAGCGAGAACTGTGCCAACGGCTGCTGTTGGCAGCGACAATAGTTATGGACAAATAAATGATTGCACAGCTGTGGCTGCTCGAACGTAAACAATTGAGAGATGTCAACAAAAGTCCAAAGCAAATCGACAATTCTAACGGGTATGTTTGGACCTAATAAATGAGAATCATAAATGTATTAAAACGTTTAAATGTTTAATTTGTACGCCAATAATATGAGACAGTCACCTAGTTTGTCACTAATATATGCTTTTTGTGTCTTAAAAAATCAAAATTTATATCTATATATCTATATTTTGTGATATTAAAATGCAACTTTGGCTGTCATTTTAATTTAAATAAAAATTGTGTGACCAGCTTTTTACAAAAGATCAGTTTGGGCATAGTGCGACCATATTTAGAACGTTGTGATCAAATAAATATGCAAATACTGGAATTACGCGTTTTTCTGCGTCTCTGCGCTGGTCACATCGTGCAGAAGAGCGTGTGCAAGAGATATGCGAAAAAAGAAAAGTTTGCAGCAACAAAGTCGCAAATTAAACGAAAAGAAGTTACTAGCAACAGAATAAAATTAATTACGAATTTAATCTTTTTAAGTGGCTGGCAAAGCAAATAGTACGAAATTTCATTGTGCTTGTATGTATATGCATGTCTGCATCTGACCGTAACTGTGTGTGTGTGTGTGTGTGTATGTGTTTTTAGTGTTTATACGTGCTTGTTTTGTTTTGGTTAAATGAGTTTGTTGTAAATTACTTGTGTATAAAATGACGATGATAAAAAATATTTGAAATATCTATCAAAATAATTCGTAAAATATTAAATTTTATGTATATTTATATCCAATTTCTCCCAATTTGCAATATACATATATTCTCTGGACAATAAGTGGCAACTCCAAGCCAACATGTATACAAAAACAAGAAGCGACTATGAAAACGAATCGCACAATAAATAAATGGAAGGCAAACGCGCAAAAAAGAAAAAGCGACCCAAAACGAGAAAGAGAATAAGCAATTTCGTCGCTTTAGTACAAAATTTCTAGTTACGCGCATTTCACTCAAGAACATTTGTACAAATACACTAAAAATAAAAAACAACAGAAACGACCACATAAAAAAAAAATACACCGTTTAGTATTCAAAATTGTTTGGTAATTCAATGAGAAGGCGCAAGTGAAGAGGCGGCAAGAAACAGAACCCAATTAACAGAACTAAGCAAGACAGAACTAAAATAAGCATATATACATAGGTAAAGAGTGAGTGCTGGACACATTTTACATCTACCGCGGCTCCTCCACAACCCAACTCAACAAAGCAGCTGCTGCTCAACTTTATCGCAAGCCGAAAATTACAATAATATATATATAGTATATATATATACATACATATAAATATATAAGTGTGGTAAAAACTCGATGCTATGCCGCTTCAGCCTCGCTGCAAATTTCTTTTGAATCGTATACAACACAGTTGTTTCCCAGCACCCCCACCATATGTACACACATACATACATACATACTGATATATTTATGTACATGTGCAAATTGATATGTATTTTGCCCGCGCGCTTGCAAAATCCCTAAAAAAAAACAATTTTCGTTTGCATATATGTATATTTATTTATTTTTTTTTTCTACAATTGTGTATGATTTTTGCGAATGTTCGTCTATCGTCTATCTTTTTGTTTACTAATACAAATAATAATTCAATCCATTTGTTAATATTTTGCAGAGACGCTTAAATCATCAGGCGGTTATTATGAAAGGTTATAATTTGTTTCAACATCCTTCCCCCTACATTCATAAAATAGAATGAAAACACATCTTCGGACACCGAAGACTAAATACCCTTGCAGACATTAAGCATCCGTTCACTTTCATACAAAAGTAAATTTTCCACGTAATGTTTTTAAAAAACACCTTAATAATAAAGAAGAAACCAAAAAATGCTAAATGATAGAACTTAATTTTGGACTGATCAAAATATATGATATAGTGGTCCGATCCAAGAGAATACGAAAGATGTACCAACTGCGCAGGAAGCCGGATCTTTATCAGACACAGATATATGTATATCATTACCAAGAATAAGAATTTTTGGAATCGGAGATGCCTTCATTATATATGTATATTATCCTCTGCAAGGGTATACAATAAAACAAAATATATATGTGCATATGCGAACATGTATGTACGTTATTTTTGTTGCCGTTGCCGTTGCCGTTGCCTAAGCCAGGTTTTGTCTCCTAACATGAGCCCTAACTTGCTAAAACAAAAACAACAACAGCCAACACCCAGGCCCCAATTTCCCGCAGACCGCAAGTATTATAAATTAACTAACGATTTTTTGTTCATTATCCAACCAGGAAATTACTATAAAATGTCTCGTAACAAAGACAAATATGACAGCACGAACAGAAGGCAACAGATATTTCTGTCCGCCGAAGATATTGCCGCTGGCAAAAAGACAAACTGGACAGGACTCGAAATAACGGGTATGTAAAGCTCTCCTAAATTTCTGGAATTTATTAAAAACTAATCCTCTTGCTACTGTTTGCAGGCTGCGTGCGCAATATCAGCCCCTCGTTGTGGGAGTTCGAACACCTGACCGCCCTCTATCTGAATGACAACCAGCTGCTGCGGCTGCCAGCGGATGTGGGCCTGTTGGTTAGCCTGCGAACCCTGGATTTGTCCAGCAACAAGCTGCGCAGTCTGCCCGCCGAGCTGGGCGAGCTCATACAGCTGAGGTGGGCTTACCCCCAATCGCAGTGCAATCACGATCAGCAACTAATTGGGGTTTATTTCTTAACTATTTCCAGAGAGCTGCTGTTGAACAATAACTTTCTGCGTGTGCTGCCGTATGAGATTGGCAAGCTGTTCCATCTGGTCATACTTGGTCTGATGGGCAATCCGCTGCAAAAGGAGTTTATGAACATCTACAATGAGCCGAATGGCACGCCGAAATTGCTTACCCACATGTTGGACAACTTGTCATGTGAGTAGCAAACATTTTGTTACTCTATTTCTATGTATTTGCCGCTGCATGTGTGCGAGTGTGCGTGTGTATGTGTGTGTTTGTATTTTTACGCGGGCTCCTGTTTCTGCAAAAAGGAAAGCTAAAAAGGGGCATGAAAAGAGAAAGTTCTCTTGTGCTGTAAACGTCTCTTTTATACCCTTACAGAGGGTATTACAATTGTGTTCCAAAATATGAAACGCACTAAAAGCGAGAACTTTTTGTTTTTGTGTAAGTTATGCTCCGTTTTGGGGCATCTCTTCATAAAACATTGCAGATACTCTTTTTATTTTTTATGTGAAAGTAATAATCTTTGACACTCCTTACTTGTTTTTATCTAATTTTATTCAAAACAAGTTGATGATTGATTGATTGATTGCTTACTTGAGCAACATCGAACTACTATTTATCTATATTTATTATTGAGTTAATTGTCGAATTACTATCATTGTGTGTATTGGTTAAGGGTATTTATCTTTCGGCGCAGCGTTATTTTTTAGTTTTCTGTTCGATTCGTTTTCAATCTGCAATGCGAGCTTTGGTTGACAGGATGGCAAAAGGCGCGCAACCGGTTTTCGAACGACCGATTGGCCAATTAAAGTTCAAACTCATGGTTTTTCTTATTAATAATGCCAAACATCAATTATAATTTAATTGAATGCAAGCGCCAAAATGATATGCAACGCAATTACAGCAACAATAAAAAAAGCAAAACAACAACAAAAGCAACACCGCATGACCTCGACATGCAAAGCTGCTGGACGTTGGCCCAAAGCTGCAACAGCAGCAGCAGCTTGCAGAGAGCGAGCTTAATGAAGAGTGTGTGCGCTTGCGAGCGAGAGAGAGAGAGTGAGAGCGTGAGAGCGCGAGAGTGTGAGTGCAAATGCGGGCATAACGGCTTCAAGTGCGTTTACTGTTAGGCCGGCAAAGCTCGTGCGCGAATGAAATTGAATTCGCTGCCATCAGTCTGCCACAAGCTTGGCTCGCGAGCGGACGCTTTAACTCTACAGCCGAGGCCAGTCGAAACCAGTTTTCTAGCTGTCGCGCCGACTCGTCTCGTCTCGTTTCGTCTCGTCTCGTTCTTGTCGCTGGCTGCGCCTGCGCCTGCGCCAAGTGTTTCGTAATTTCGACAGCGGCAGCAGCAACAGTTGCTGTCGTCGGCAGAGCGAGCAATAGTTGTGCCAGTTTCTTTTGTGCAGTTCGGTCGGTTCGCTTTTCAGACGCTTTTCATTTCGTGCGAATTTTCGGTTGCCGCGTGTGGAAATGCTTTTCGCAATGGCCGCCTGAAGCATGCATTGTGAAGTGTTGAAATTGCAAATTGCGGCCAAGTGATGTGCGATACGCACGGCAGACGAGGACAACAGACGCTGCTACCACGTGAGATACGAACGACGAGGCAGGATAATTATGAGATCGCATGTGGCCGTTTATCGTGCACCAGAAAACACAAACGGTTGCCAGTTCGCTAGATACGCGCTCCACGGGCCACCGGCGCCACCACATCCCTTGCAGCCGCCGGCCATTTGGAATGCCGCGCCGCCCACAGCCCCAAACTCCTGCTACAATCTGCGCGCCCAGCTGCATCATGGACTATACCATGCAGCAGCAGGAGCTCCACCACAACAACAACAGCTGCTGGTCAATCAGCAGCGGATCAACGAATGCGCCGGAATACCGCTCATCTCGAATGCGTGCAGCCACTTGACCCCGGCGCAGCGTCATCGGCTGCTGCGCAAATCGGGCAAGCCCTGGCCAGCCGCTGGCGCGCACTCCATGTCCCAGCTGGCGGCGCATGCGCAGGGCCAGCCGCTGCTGCAGAACGGAAACAAACAACATCATGCCCAGCTGCAGCAGCAGCAGCAACAGTACTCGCCGCAATCCTGGCCAGCGCACGCCTCCAGCTATCAGCCCATGCGCATAAATAACTTTCAATTGACGGACAAATCACGCACGCTGCGCTATCAGAACTCGGCGCCGGCGGTGCTCAGCGCCCAGGAGCAGCAGCAGCAGCAGCAGAAACTGAACAGCAGCAGCAATAACAACAACAACAACAACTGTGCTGGCCAGGAGCCGGCATCGTCTGCGGCGGACACCTGTCTGCCGCGCATCATTAAGCCGAGGAAGCGCCGCAAAAAGGATCGCAAGCCGGCCAACGGAGTGCTGCTCAAAATGGATGCGGATTTGCAGCCAAAGCTGCAGCAGCATCAGCACGCATCCAATACGGCCAACTATGCCCAGCTGCTGCCCCTGGCCGGAGGCAGTGGGGGGATGCAGCATGATCACAGCCATGGCGTATGCTTTTGTCGCGACTGCGATCCGCTGCGCTCGCTGTGGGATTACCCGCTGCGCCGATCGCTCTCAGATGCCAGCTCCAGCGGGCAGGGGGGCGCCAGCAACTCGTCGAGCAACTCGTCCACGTCCACGCACTCGGACAACTCGTCGTGCGCCAGCTCGATCTGCTCGCGGAGCGTGCCCAACAATTTCGATGAGACGGAACAACACTTTGCGCCCATCACCGGCGACAGCTGTCGCGCCGAAATTGTGGGCGTCATCGGATCGCAGCGCAGTCACGCCCACGCAGCAGCAGCCCCAGCAACAACAGCTCCAGCTGCAACTGCAGCTCCAGCTTTGTATTTGAGCGACTCGAGCGATAGCTCAGGCTATGGCGACATCCTGAGCGGCATGAACATTGCCAACGATCTGTTTGCCAGCTGCTTTGGCCATGGAGCCGCTGCCAACGCAGCCGAGACGCTGCTCGACGAGAGCATCAACGAGATTTCGCGCAAGCTGATCGAGACGTGCGCCGTTAACGAGCTGCCACCAAATGAGGCAACCGCCGACGGCGGCGGCTCGAGTTGCGCCGGCGACAGCGACAGCTGCTCGGCGTCAGCCAGCGACAGCGGCTTGGATAGCGCGGGCAGCTATAACTCCGAGGCGCTTGTCTTCAATTTTGAGCATTTGAATCTGATGGATGCGAGTTTTGTGACGCCCACAGCTCTGGACTGCAACAACAACAACAACAATGCTGATCGCAAGCAACAATTTTATAACAATTGCTTCGACTTGGTTTGGCGCAACAACAACAACAACAGCAACAACGACTGCAAAGGCGGCGGCGACAGCAGCGCCACGCCCACAACTCTAATACTGGGCACGGTTGGAAAATTGAAGCCAGCATTTTCCACCATCTCGTGACGATAAACTAAGCGCACACACACATCAACGAAATCCAAACCAAAACTGAAGCCCACGAAATTTCCAGTTAATTGCCAAACCCTTTTTTTCCATGTGGGCGTGTGCGTTGCATAACCAAAAACCGTTAACCCACAAATTAAGCGAATTGTCAGCTGAAGAGAAATTGAATGGCAAAAGAAACGAAAAGAGCACGAGACATTGAAATTAATGCGCCATGGGCGCAACAACAACAACAACAACAGCAGCAATTGACAGAAGACGCCTGCGCTGCAAACTTTGTACATCTATATGTGTGTATATATATATACATATATATATGCATGTGTATATATACATGCTACAGCTTTCACTTTCGCTGCGGCGAAGTTGCTTTGTTTTTGCCCAGACAAGCGGCGAGATTCAACCGCAAAGACAAAAACAACAACGAAAAGTCTTATGCAGATTTTTAAACGCAAAAGTAATAGAAATCGTGACTAGACAAGAGGCCCAGCTAAATTTGTGGATGCGAATACAACACACACACATATATATATATACATATATATATACAACTTATATATATACATATGTATATACTTTTATATCAAGAGCGATGACGCATTTGTAACATTTGTAAAAATTGGTTCAGTTTTTTTTTTTGTTATTTGTGCATTAACCTTTTGTATTTAAAGAGCTTTGAGCTTAGCTTTTGATAAGTTTTGAATAGATGATAATGCTATATTTAGTTAGACAGCAAAGCAAATAATGGGTCAAGAGAAGTATAGCACCTAAATCAATGATGTACTGCGAAATATTGATTTATATTAATATATATATTATCATATCATATATTTCTCTAGGCGCAAATTTGTTTCACTTTCTTCTTTTTACTTCTGCAAACTATTTTTTTTGGTTGACCTTAATTATTTGTCTTGCTGAACTAATAATTTGTTTGTAGTTCCTAATTAACACTTGGTTTTTTTTTTTTGCAAAATTGGGTTTGTCGTTTTCGGTTGGGTTTTAGGTAACAGTTAGTTTATAGAGCGCTACGAAGTGAACTTTTTTAGTTATTTAAGTTTATTTATATTATTTTTTTAAGCTAAATGCTGTTGAGACAAATCACATTTCAAGACACGCAATGATCTCTCGAATTGAGTTAAGATCATGATAGAATATGTTCTCGATATCTAGATATATATATATATATGGTTTTTCAGTTCATTCCATAAGGAGATCAGAAAATGATTTGAATTTCGGTTTTGTTCATTTGGTTTTAATCATGAACTATTTTTAATTCGATTTGCTTGGTTGGGCTAATGTATATATCGAATTCTCAGCTTCTTTGTGCTTTTAGTATTTATATATATCAAATCATTCAAATGCTACTGTTGGGTTTTTGGTCTTATCCGAATCACTCGAACATATTCTTTAACTTCAATTAGTTTGCTTAGATTCAGTAGATTGTTTCCAAATGTATTCAATCTATCCGAATCATTCGAATTATGCGAATGCATTCCTGCATAAGTCTGCATTCATTCGATTTCTGTTCATGTCTTATAGTGCATATTAAACCTATTCGAATTGAAATGATTTTTAATACTATTCGAATCATTCGAATGCATTCAAAACAATACGCATGGACTTAAGCTTGATATTTATTGTATTCACTTCGACTGAACTCTGGCACTCATTTATATTTCGCTCGCTTCGATTGATTTCGATTTAGTTTTTAGTTTAAGTTTTTGGGTCAGCTTAGTTTACAGCTGTTGGCTGTTGGCTGAAGGTTAAGGTCGCCGCTTTTTAATTTGTAAGACACTTTTTCTAATTATGCCATGCTGATCACTGAGCATAAAATCTAAGACAACAGAAGCAGCAGCCCTAGTTACCTGCTTATTTAGCAGTTGGCGCCGAGTAAAAGTTTTCGCCTTTTTTAATTAAAAGAAACTCACGAGCGCGCAAAGAAATTGCATTTGTTGCTCTCGAGTTTTCCACTGTTGCTGCTGTTGCTGCTGTTGCTTGGCATGATAGAAAAATGTCACAGTTTTCCACGATCGAGTCGAGTTCCGGCCAATGGCGGGGCCGCCCAGTATGGAGCCGGCTGCTTTTGTTACCATTCCCCACATAAACTAATTTATTTAATTAAGATTTTCACTAGTTTGTAATTGTAATTGTCATTGTCATTGTTAATGTATTTCTATATGTGTTATTGCACAAATAACAAAACGGAGGCGATTTACCACATATACCACATATACTTCACATAATTCTCATTCCACTTAGCCTTAAGTATCTCCATTAAGTTTTATTCTTGTTTCGCGCACAATACTGCAATTATTATTTATTTTGATTAAGCGTGAACGAGAGCTCAATAAAATACATAAATAAATAAAGAAAAACCCGATTGTGTTTTGGAAAAGTAAAAGAAAAAACTGATTACTGTTTTGATAGCCCCGAAAAGTTTGTTTCCCTTGGCGGCGGCTCTGTCAGCCGCAAGATTTCTATTGGGGCACGTTCGAGCCGATGTCGACGGTTTTCAAATAAACAAATAACAAATAAACAAACAAACAAACCACCGGAGAGACAGGCAAATAAACATACACTACTGAACATTGGAGCACTGATCTTGGGACCGTGGCTGCACTTGAGAGTGAACTTTCCAAGCATTAGCCCAACGAATTATTACTATTATTTTTATACCCTTGCAGAGGGTATCATAATTTTGTCGTCAAATGTGTAACGCATAGAAGGAGGTGATCGTTCGAAAAGTAGGTTCCTGTATGAACAACTTTTTTGTTTATCAAGATATCTTTGCGAAACTCAACATTAATTACTTTTACTATGCGTCTCATATATATGCAAAATCCTATCAATATCGAACAACTATATCATATAGCTGTCATAGGAACAATCGGTCGAAAAGTAGGTTCTTGTATGAAAAACTTTTTTGTTTATCAAGATATCTTTGCGAAACTCAACATTAATTACTTTTACTATGCGTCTCATATATATGCAAAATCCCATCAATATCGAACAACTATATCATATAGTTGTCATATGAACGATCGGTAGAAAAGAAGGTTCTTGTATGAAAAACTTTTTTGTTTATCAAGATATCTAAACCAAACTCGGCATTTATTACTTAACGTAAACGTTTTATATATATGCAAAATCCCATCAATATCGGAACAATATATCATATAGCTGCCATAGGAACGATCGGTCGAAAAGTAGGTTCTTGTATGAACAACTTTTTTGTTTATCAAGATATCTAAACCAAACTCGGCATTTATTACTTTACGTATACGATTTATATATATGCAAAATCCTATCAATATCGGACCACTATATTATATAGCTGCCATAGGAACGATCGGTCGAAAATTACGTTTTTAGATGAAAAACTTTTTTGTCTTCCAAGATATCTTAACCATACTCGGCATTAACTACTTTTCCAGTGCTTCTTAGATTCGGGCAAAGCACTATGAGCATTATGAAAAGGTTGGGTCTGCAAGGGTATTAAATCTTCGGCGTGCCGAAGACAGCCCTTCTTTGTCGTTTTTTCTAGTTTTAGTTTTACAGCCAGCCAAACTTTGAACCAGCTTTTGTCGTAGCCTGGCTGAGATTGTTTACCTTTCACCTGGTGTCGCGGCGTCTTCCTCTTTAATTGAAAGAGCCGCTCGTATTGAAAATGTTCGCAGGGATCCGCTGTATTTTAACCGTAACTGGCAAATTAATTTCTTTTTGTTGTGCGCCACAAATTGCCGGTCATTTGGCTAATTAATGTCTATATTTTAGGGTCTCGTCATCTTTTTTCTTCTACTATTCATTTTGCCACAATGACTTCTGACCAGCGCACAAGGTGGCTGACTCCTAAAGAGCCCGCTTATGTTCTAAGTCGACTCTTTCCACAACTTGTCTGCCACTTTTCTTCCCCTCTCCCTCCCCCCCTCTCTCTCTCTCTCTCTCTGCAAAAGAGCCGGCTATCGTCCAACCGTTTGAGTGGGTCAGTGGATAATTGGGTCATTTGCAACACTGTTTGCGCCATCACGCCGGCAACTGTTGGGAGCCCCAACACTGGCTAATGTGTTTGGCTACGTCAATAAATGCGTCGTCTTCTTCTTCTCCGTTGACGTCTTGTCCAGGTCGTGTTCTTCTCTCTTCGCCGGTCAACGGAGCATTCCATAGTTAGCTTCGTCGTCGTCTGCTAAAAGCAATGCTTGTTTTTTCTCTACAATTTAATTTGTTACTAAATGCCCTTTTCCGCCGAATACATTAACATTTTTATCACGTTTGCGTCGCTCGCAATTACGAACTGCATTGTGATTACATTTTTCCTTTATTTGCTTTAATATCAAGAACCTTCAAACTTATTATATCAACAACTTCTTGATTTCTCCTTTTATATCTATACATATATCTACATCATATAGCTGCCATAGGAACGATCGGTCGAAAATTAATTACTTGGAAAACTATTTCACTTCTTATGAAAAACTTTTTTGTTTTTTATGCTCCTTACATGTATGAAAACTCTTAATAAAATCGGACAACTATATAATATAGTTGATATGGAAAAGATTGGTGGAGTAGTAGGATATGGAAAATAATCGGTTTTCAAAGATATTTCAACCAATTCAGCGTGCTTTCACATATCTGCCAAAGGGAAAAGTCTGCAAGGGTATTGAATCTTCGGCGTGCCGTAGCTATCTTGATATACCTTAGAAGCTATATTATCTAGGTACCCAACATTATGAATGTAAGATCTCGTAAAGTACACAGAAATCCAACTTTTATCAGCTCTCCCGAAATTGTTGACCTGCACTTCAAAAAGATCGGCAGATAAACATCGGAGTTAATCAAGATTCCCTTTCTCGTAGTATGGGGCAAGGGGAAGAGAAATTAATTAATGGATTCAGGGTATTTCCTAGATGGGTGCTACCTTCTAAAAGAAAATGTCTCTTAAAAAAAGGAATACAAAACTTTGTATTTAATTATTCTAATCTTCCTCGTAGAACTCTTTTTAAACTGAAACTCTGTTCGAAATCTCGCTATGTTCGTATTCCAATTTCGTTGTTTTTATAGGGAAAATTTCTAGTTATTTATAATCTTATCTAAAAGGAACTTTAACAAATATAAATATGATATAATAATTTAAGTAACTGACGAACATTTATTCGATCATCGAATTTAAATTTAAATTAATTTAAATCCCTTCATTTTAAACTTATCTAGGATATTCCATAATGATAAGACTTCTTGATGTTGAGATGTATCTGACGATCGAATAAATTGTTCAATGCCTCGTTAGACTTATTTTT